GAGTGAAAATCGAATTGTATTATATTACATGAATAGCTTTAGCCTATGAACCTTCCAATTATGATTTAATGATTGACATGAGAGGTTCAAAATCTTGATATTATACTAGTAAATCCATATTTGTTCTTGTTTGAAACTAACAAGGCAAACTTTCCTTCAGTCCAATAACTTTGCTAATATCTCAATCCTATATCAGAACGTTGTAATAACTAAACCACTGCTAGATGGTTTAATGGTAAAAAAACAAAAAGGTCCAATATAGATTCTTGAGTTCGAGTTCTCTTAAGCACTAATGGAAATGACCACTGAGGGGATTTATCTAGTCGTTCACTTCAAGACTCTGAGGAATTAGTTGAGATGCATACAAGCTGACCCAGATATCTCCCATTTGCAATAACTTTGCTAAAATGAAAGGCCAAATATGAAGTGGTAAGTGCATATTGTGTTTAAATAGTCCATGTGGATCAAATCATTCCATTTTTACATGAAAATTAGGTCAAAATGCAATAATTTAATTTGAAGTAAGAAAAGCATCCTTGAAAGATATGGCGGGCAGAGAATAATAATAAACAGGAAACACCAACAAGGAAAGAATAATAATCTTACAAACCCAAAATAGGAAAAATCAAAATAATGATTGACATATAACAACTTCACCTGTAAATTTTAGCAAAATATTAAAAAGGGAAGAAGTGTAAGGGAAGAGATTCCCTCTTTATTCCTCTGCCAATGCCATGCACAAACGAACTCAAGTGAAAGCAGAAAGCAGAAAATAATAATAAAATGTTTTTGTTTTCCCTACAGTATTTTCACAAAAGTGTGGTCACATCTTTGTTAAAAGAGTAATCAAAAGCTGGAGGATGGTCTGGGTGGAGTAGGATCAGAATATGATTTTGTGTTCATTTCTGCCACAGATTATGATTCTTTTTTCCTATCACTGTCTCCTATGTTGATAAGAATCCCACCCTGGACAGTACCAGCTGCTACTATAGTTTTTTTCTTCAGTTTGCTTCTAAATCGAACTATAAGATATTTTCACCAAATCATTATGAAAAATGTACAACAAACTTTGCATCAGCATACCAGAGATGACATATGTGTTTCAGTTGTTGCTTACTTTCCCATTTATGTTAAATCCCGAGTCTAATCAAGTAGAAATTGTCTGTTTTGGGTCTAACCAAATAAAAATTGTCCGTTTTGTGACTAAGGTTGCACGGGTTTACTTTTGGACTGCACTCAAGCGTCCTTAACTCAAAACATGTCTATTAAGTTAGGGGGGTCTAAGTCTTACAAACTAAATCACAAAGCTCATTCACCAGACGATGTGGGATGTAACAATTTCTTTATTAAGTACAGAGTTTGCATGCATAATACATACACAACAGTTATATCAGGGACCAGTGCTGGAGCAATATGGTAAAAGAATATTGATAATAATGAATAATATGACACATTTTGGCGATAACAGCTGTGGTAGCTATCAACACATTGTCAACAATTTCTTGTGAAAATGATCCTGCTCCATTTGTCTATCTATGTGCTGCTAATCTATGCAGAGTTAAGAATCATATAAAGGCAATATATTCAAAATATAGGCAGTCTTCTCACTAGATGTGTTGTCCAGTTCATTGAATCACAGCTATGAATTACTTTGAACCTTCGAAATCACTTTGCCGGTAACTATGACGTATGCAGTTGAGATATGATTTTACTACTGAAATATATGTGTTCATTTTCTGTAAACAGAAGTCAGAAGAAACACTTTGTTCTGATTCTTGACAAACCAGGCCAAATAATTTGAGTGTTCACAAGGGTAAACCTGGTTTTTATCCTAAATGAAAAATCAACCAATCAGCAACTAGCACTTGCAAAATGAGTAAGCTAGTAGATTCAACGATAAGAAAGGAACATGAGTTTGTGTAATGCTATTTGGCTTAAAAGGAAGTAAGCTAATGTTGCCACATAAAAGAATTTGCTGCTGGCTGGCCCTTCTCGAAAAACATCCCTTTCACTCATCAAGAATGTGCTTATGCGAATAAACCGAACTTGTGGGCATTGATGCAATCATACAGAAGTTAGCTTTAAAGTTGCTTTCACGCTAACCTTTATGTAGATATTCTCCTTGCAGCATCAATTCTGCTCATCTCAATAAGAATCCATTTCTTAGTAGACATTATTGAAAGCAGCAACCGCACTATAGGCAGCTTCTGCTTCATCCGCCGAAATTTTATCCAAATAAACTGAACAAGACTTGATCCTCGTAGCAAACCAGAAAAGTGAAGAACCAATCGAATGATCAAAGAGCCACCTAATTAGTGAAGATAGAACATCAGCCAAATAAGGAAAAGTAATTCTGAATAACTTTTGAGAGAGAGCCATCACGGCGCCAAGTGGACAGTCGTTAAGATTTTAACATGCAAATGGATTGCTCAAAGACATCAGCATTTCCCTTCTGTAGCAATAAAAGTTTGGACCCCAGTTATGCATGCTACAGGCAGATAACTCCAAATATTAATAACAAACATGAACCAAAAGAAAAGTAAATAATTTTTCTAAGCGAATTATATAGAAAATAAAGGATTAGGATTCAAGCAAACATGAGCTCAAATGCATGAAGCTGAGAGATTGGTCTTTGCTCTCCCAAGAGTCACGAAGAAAAATTAAATAACAGTAACTCATTCTGAATATACCAATAATAAATATTCATGCTTATCATATTCTCACAAGTTGCATATGAATCTATAAAGCACTTAGAAACTAAGGAATTTTTCAAGAGCTATTATAAGATCTTGAGACTTATGCAGTTTATTTACTGGACTACGATGAGCATGGTTTAATCAAAAGATTGAAACTCAGACTATTGAATTTGAGCTCGATGCCTTTGACTTTAAAGAAACTAAATTCTTATCCAAATCCAGCTTGCTAGAAATTATTTGAATCTTAGCAAATGCCACCGAGGAAGACTAAGTAGATTGTAAAAGTCTGGTCAAAATGAAAGGGTGGTTGATCTTGTACTGAACTTAACAGCACATAACACTTTCAGTTTCCCCTATCCAAGAAATTGAAAGTACATGGTGGTATATGAAAGTCCAGCATTGGCTTTGCAACATCAAAATACTGAAATACTAAATAACTTAAGACACATGTATGTCAAAAATATGAGCATACAGAAACAGTTTTCATGTATTCCAAAAGAAGAGCTATTACAGCCATCAAGAAACTTGTCTTAGTTGCATCTGCAATTATATAATTTCGTTTGGTTTACAGCACCTAAAACCTAGAAAACTTGCATTTAAAAGTAGTCAACATTACTTGGATCAACAAATGCAACACGATGCTGATATTTAGAAATTTTAATAAGATAAATCCTCTTCAGCTTAAATGCACTTTCAACTTTTATTGCATTAGATAACGTCATTCTTATATTCTGTCCAGAATACTCTAAAAGTAGTGATACAGTTATATGGTCCAACAACATTTATGTGCCCTATGCTTATATGTTCGTTAATATCATAATACTTATTATCAAATAATAAATGATTTTTGACCATCCAACCATCTAGATGCATAAACATGCAGTGTGATTCCTACTAATCTCCTATTTCACAATTATCCCGGTGCTGTGATGTTGAATAACATAAAAAACATAGATCAACTCAGCGAAAATTTATTCCGTACATCAAAAAAAATTTCGTTGCCCGTCCTGTTTTTCTGTGTATGGTTTCCTTACTCTCTATACATCACTCATATGTCTCCATTTGAATCCAAAGAGTTCTGTGAAGGACATAATAGGAGTCTGCTACAAATAGAAGTACTATGCTGATGCCTATGATTCTTATAATGCTCAAACATAATGGTGAAAACCACTGTCACCAAGCTTTCCATAAAAAACTCAACTAAAACAAAAGGTAAACCTGCATATACCTGATAAAGTTGCCTATAGAAGCTAGCTTCCAGAATTGTAGATTCAGTGTATGATAGTTAAACTAAATAAGTTATGCCATATACATTTTAGGAAGAGATTACTTTAACACTTGTAACCAAAGTTTCATCAAGTTCTTTCTCCAAGTGTTCTTCTATCTGATCTCAAGAGGTTAAAGAATGCAAGATTTTCCCAACTTTCAAGCAACAATTCCAAGTTTTGACTCTAAGAAGAGTTCCAGTTCCACTGACAATTAATTTCTGAGAGTTCTTATTTTCTAACTCTTGCATCAGTGGTAGCTCCTTGCCCTTGAATTGGTAGAATACTTGAAGATACAACCCCACCAGATATATGTTCGTTTTTCCCCTTAATTTTACAAGTCTGACATATAGCTTGATGCATTAATGTCGCATAGTTTGTTCCTAATTAAACTGCTGAAGGTACAGTCTTCTCACCTAGGCCAATGAGTAGCCATCCCAACTATAGACTACACACGGCAAATAAAAGGAGCAGCAATGTCCTTTATTCAACTTTTCTGTCATCTCCAACCCTAAAATTTTGATTATGAAATTGAATAGGCTGATATAAAGCTTGGTAAACTGAAACTCAAGGAACAGAACCTTAACTAAAATCTCTATCCAAGTTTTGAACTTATTTCTTCTAACAATCTTAACCCTTTTCTGATCAGTGTCATACACTGAAGTGTCACCAACTCAAACAATAGTACTAGCTCTTAATGTAGTCGGCCTCCATTTCACACTAATGGTGTACCACATCATGAACCAACTGTAAACAACAATCTCAACTAGCATGTACAGAACTTCATACTCAAGAATAATAGAAGACAAATAGAGGCCTCAGTCACAACTAAATCTACATAAGTGACCTCATTTTCTCGTCATCTCTAAACTTCTACATTCCTTTTCATCCCAATCTCACTTATGTATGATTTATGAAAATGGTAACTGAATGCAAATTCTCCATTCAGAATGCAGCAATAGATCAATACTTAAAATGAAACAAAAGATTGAAACTACTCTACTGAGTAATCAATAGAAAATAATATATATATGTCCAAAATATGTAGGTTATTATTGGAAATAGCTCATGTACAACTTTTGTTTGTCTAGAGTTTGTTATACACAACTTATTATAACATCCTACTTTTACCATCTCATTGAAACATGACTTGGCCAACAAGAAACGATTCCTTCTTTTCCTTCCCTCTGAAAAAGGTGGAACCCAGGTTTCTTTTCCATCCCTGTTGGGAAAGAAAACAAAACCAACTGATTAACTGAAAGAATTTGATATGTTCTACTAACGGCAAATAAAAGTGCTGATAATGTACACACAAAACTTCATAGATTTTTACAATTTAAACAAGATGAGTGTTTTATGTCTAGAGATACGTAACTCAGACATTTTTAACAGTCTAGTCAGAATTAAACAAAAGATGGAGCCTGAAGTTAGCAATAAAACATCCCAGTAACTATAAATTAGGGTGATAAACAAAATATAAGTGTCAAAGTTGTCTTGTATAGCTGTCAACAGAAGTTCAAAACTCTTTCACCACATAATAATAGAATAAGTCAATGAGCTATATAACGGACCTCATGATAAGTATTTTGCTGTCTCAAATTCAATATAAATGAAGTTCATAAAGTATTTCTAAAACTAAAGCCAGTTGGAGAAGTGAAATGTGACTGAGCAAGAAAGAGAGAGAAAGAACCTTTTTCAAAGCTTTTGATGAGGCCTTCTCCTAGGCAGTTTCAGGTCAACAACAACAACAGAGACATTGTCGCAAGTGTATGCAGTAAAAGCTCGCTTCAGCAGTTCTTTGGCAACATTAAGGGCTGGAGGGTGGGATGAAGTATCATCTTTTTTTGGCTGCCTGCGTTGGTACCTAAATTCTTCACGAGCCAACCTTACAGCAACATCATTAGACAAGACGTCCCAAAGTCCATCACTTGCCAAAATCAAAAACTCGTCATCTTCAGTTCTAGGCGTGAAAGTAACTTCTGGCACTGAAATAATCCATGGTTTCAAACCATGATCACCTGAAACTCAGACATACCAAACATGCAGATTATTAGATCTAAAGTTAAACATATCTTAGTCATAAAAGAACTAAAATGCCTCAAACTTTGAAATTGAATCAACAAATTATTCTGTAAAACACACAGTGAACTAAAATCTAATCGTAGCTGAAAAAAGACATAAAATACTGGAAAGGAAGAAAGAAAAAGAATGAACAATTGTAAAGTTACACTGCTAGAAATAATTTGCTTATGAGAACCATTGTAATTGAAAGAATCTTAGAAGAGAGCCAATTCAAGGCTCTCAACTTAGACATAGGATAGAAACAGAAAAGTGGAAATTTAAAAAGGTAAAATAAAAGAAGTTCATACCAAATAAATCTAAGGAGAGAGACCAAAGTACCTTTGGAAGTAAATGGAATGTCTTAAATGAATGTGTATATGTAATTATCACAAGCATATACATGTATTTTTTGTATGAATATTAACATGTAGATATAATGAAACATGTGAGGAGATAAAAAGGAACTTTGCACCGCATTTGTTGTATATGCCTTGCCCACAAAAGCCTGCCATATCGAGAAATGACAAAGTGTAGGTCATCGACAAAACTTACATGTATGAAGGTCTAAACTAAAACTTATCTTACTAGCAAAGTAGAAATATTACCAACATCTCAAACTGGATACAATATCAATACATCTTTTACACAGTAGGTCTTATATATGCTGGTGGTAATTAGCATCAGCTCTAGAGCAAAATAGAGGCACAACCACAAAAGAAAGCAACATTTATAGCAAGATGCTGCAAATATTATTGCACTACTCATATCCATGTAGTAAGATTACTGCACTGTTGCAGTTTGGTTCAGCTCTGTGCTCTGTTTAAAAGCTCAGGAGTTCTTATCAATTATGCAGCATTCTTGCTGCAAAATTTATTATCTCCCCGGAGAGAAAAAAAGGTTTTTTGAATGCACTGCAATTTTAACAAGTCACTAACATGGAAAAGATAATAGTTCCTGCAGAAAAACCAAATAATTCATGTTATGAAAACAAAAAGCCATATAGGGTAAAAGAAAAACCTATTGCTCTCGACATAGAAAGCACCCCCTCAACCCTTAAGCAGCCCCACTGCACAATTCTGCCCCCTTTATCCCTAATCCTTGCTAGTTCATCTTCTCTTTCAAGCTGCAAAAGAGGCAACAACTCATCTCTGAGGAGTGAATATAGTCGTATACATGTATACACAGTCAAAGAGGGTCGAAATTTAAGTGCAAGTGGATTAAAACATTCCAGTATCTTATTCATAAGCATTATCCTCAGATAAAAGTAGTCCCTGAACACTAAAAAGCATGCAGAATTCCATCCTAAAATTCAGACAATTGCAGTTGCAGCAAGAGCAGCACAATACTTAAATCTAAAACATTATTGACATTGCACTCTCAAATGCAAGTCTTCAACAAAGAAGAATAATGTTTGTGTCACTTCTAGGGGCAGAAAATATGTACATGAAAATGATGTCATAGAAAGCTTGAAATTGGCTGAACTAAAATTTTATACTGATGTAGGGAAAAAGAAAGGTAGAGAAATCAAGTAAAAATTAGCTAAGAGACCTTGTGATCAACTGTCAAGGGGATTGCTCTCTTCCCACGGCAAAGAACAACCCTGGAGTCACCAACATTGGCAGCAATGATGTGGCAGGGTGACAGAATCACTATCGAAGCTGTTGAACCGACTGAGTATGGTGCTAATGACTTGTCTTTGCAAGCCTCATCTGCCCTTCCATAAGCGTTGCACAATGCAACTTCCCATCTCTTACGCCAACCATCTTCATCAGTTCCTTTCTCCCATTCCTCCGCTACCATTTTATGGAGCTCGTTTGCACAATAGTTACTTACCTGAAAATCACCATCCAAACGATGAAAAAAGTCCATGCTAATGTCATGTGCATTTGCATTTATTGGTCACTGATAAAGTAAAAACAATTTGCTTCAAACAATGCTGTGCCAATTACTGGAATCAACAAGATTAGTTATGTAAGACAGTATGCTCATCAGAAAAAACTTATTGAGGAGCTGGACATATTTGAAAGCAACAACCATTTCAGACAATTTAGACAAATGAACCTAGAAGTACTACTATTATAGATGAATATTTCGCTCAATAAAACCTTTTTGCACCGATAAAACTTGAATTGAAACACAGTATTAGAACATTTCAGAAGAATTTAAATTTTCAAACATCATATCTGGAAAGTAAAATATTAAAAGCTTTGTAGTTTCTTAATGTGATCCTATTAATTTTTTCTTCTCAAATAGAAATATACAATAGAAGATCATAGATGATATTTTACATTTTATTGTTTTGAAAAGTATACCATATAGGTCTCAACATAGTACCTAAACACTAAAAGATAAAGCAATTTAGACCCAAGAGTCAAAAATAAAAAGGAAAAAGAGAGAGAGAGAGAGAGCAATCTAATATTGAATCAGGTGACCAATTGTTTAAAAAAGGAATGTAAGAACTTTTAAGAGGTTGCAAGGCTAATACCAACTTGGTGGTGGAAAGACAAAATGAGGAGGTTCATAAATCATTGAATTAAAAGGAAAGTGTCAAACAATATTTTCCTACATGCGCACACAAAAATTACAAAGATATTCAAAATGAACCCAAAAGCGCTCTATGTAAGCTAATATCAAGTGTGTAGCATAATCGACATGTTACGAACACCAAGTAGAAATTACGTTTGAAAACTGACATATAAAGAAAGGTTTCGAAGAATTTATAAAAACTAACCTACACCCATATTTAACCGATGTGGGACACTTTGGATATTAAGGCAACACGCATACCATATTTAGAAGCCGATTTCTCCAATGGCTTCACCATGGTCATACACTTCAAAAAGATCGTTTTTCCTTTTTCAAATCCCGTAATCCGAACACATTTAAAGAAAAATGATTTTTATGAACTAATAGGGATAATAACCATTCTTGAATCCCAACTTCTATAATAATCTTTCTTACATCCCAATTGTTTAAAAAAAGAATGTAAGAACTTTTAAGAGGTTGCAAGGCTACTACCAACTTGGTGGTGGAAAGACCAAATGAGGAGATTCATAAATCATTGAATTAAAAGGAAACTGTCAAACAATTTTTCCCCTACACGCACACACAAAAATTATGAAGATATTCAAAATGAACCCAAAAGCGCTCTATGTAAGCTAATATCAAGTGTGTAGCATAATCAACATGTTGCGAACATCAAGTAGAAATTACGTTTGAAAACTGGCATATAAAGAAAGGTTCCGAAGAATTTATAAAAACTAACCTACACCCATATTTAACCGATGTGGGACACTTTGGATATTAAGGCAACACGCATACCATAATTAGAAGCCGATTTCTCCAATGGCTTCACCATGGTCATACACTTCAAAAAGATCGTTTTTCCTTTTTCATATCCCGTAATCCGAACACATTTAAAGAAAAATGATTTTTATGAACTAATAAGGATAATAACCTTTCTTGCATCCCAATTTCGATAAAAATCACCTTAAAAAATCAAAATCTCTCAATTATCTATTTTCCATGTCCCTTACCGATCCTTTGACTTCCCTTTTCTACAAAATAAAACCATTGCATCATTAGAAGATGGTACCATTTTAAAGTAAATATTATTAATAACCTTTTATTACTTTTATAACCAAAAGGCTTGAAATTGTAGATTTCTCTTTACATTTTCTGTTCGTAGCTAAGATGTTACTTTCATCAATGCATTTAACCTTCAACTCAATCCTTCATTTGCAAATTTTGTGACCAAAACTCTGAATAGTAGTCCAAGGAAGAGTGCAAACTCCGTCGAAGACAAATATGTTAAAGGTCAATGGTAGTCTATTTAAACAGGAATCACGAGAGGATTATCACTCTTTGACCCAATCTTTTAGCAGCCTCGAAAGTTAAGCCTAGCTTCTACACTAACAAATAAAATACCGTGATGGATTTTGTTTCCTCTTCCACAAGAAAAACATTTTAGGTAATAATTTATCCATCAAGACCCTCTTCAACTCAATAAAATTCATTTGTTGCGCTTACATCTAAACTAGACATACTTGTTAAATTATATAAATCAATTTCACTTCTTCATCATTGGCACTACAGTTTTCTTTATATACTCTCCCCTACTCTTGATTATTGAAGAACATATCCCTCCACGCTTACCTCATTGGCCTTTCACATATATCAATCAAAGATGTTACCATCCTTGATAGGAGTGCTAAAATAAGCAATCTCATGGCAAGAGGTATTAGCGAGATGCTATCTACACTGGTGAATTTACTTAAGATACTACTTAAGGTCTTGATGCATCCATCCATTGATAATCAAAATCTTTTCACCTCAAGAATAATAAGCGCGCATTCGGATATAGAACCAAGCACAAGCAAACTACATCTCTTCTGGGCATCAGGGATAACATTGTTATGGAGAAAGTGAACGTATTGAGTTCGCAATCAATATCATAGTCCATGACATTCACTTGATAAGGGCTAACTTAACATGTTCGATACTTTTCTTCTAAAAACAATACATACTCATCACCATTTCCGAAAGTTTCAGGATCATCGAGAAGCCCCTTTTAGTAATTCCTTGGTTTTTACCTCATTTTTTCAAATAACTTTAATATAATTCATTTATTAATTTCTTCTCCTCATCTGTTCCACTTCTTGTACTCATATATAGGCATCAGAGAAGCCAATTTAAAACATTAAGCGAAGTCCAGAGATGCCAAATAGCTTCATTTGTCCAATTCATACTCTAAAATGCGTAATTTCTCATTCACTCCTAAAAGATCACTTCCTAGAATTCTGTTAACTAGTGTTATCTAAAATGTCACTACAAATTTTCTCTAATCTTCTATATCATAGATTATTCAAGTGGTAATTAAATTAGAAGTATGGTATTTTATCTTATCTTAAATATTTTCGTCAAAAAAAGTATTAAAAATCTTCAACAATTCATTAAACGGAAAAAAATCTTTACGAAAATGTTCAAAGAAATTCAAGGGCAAACAATGATACACTTATATTCTCCAACAAAATGGTGTATTGATGCAAAGATAAGCATATATGAATGGAAACGATGATATTGAACAATCAAGACATAGTTATGAAATCATAATTGAAGAATCAAAAGCTTCCAACTTAAGCACACTCATTTTCTTAGCATAATGAGTTTGGTGTTCAAGACTGTGCTACAGCTTACATGGCGAGTGTCATTAATAATGGCTTCCCCATGCATTTATACAAAAATGTAATGCATGGTTAACTTCCCCATCCATGACTTGAATAGTCGACAACGTGAAGCTTCTCTTCGAACATGATCTTCACAGTTATACACAATTCCAACGAAATTTACGTCCTCATGTTCCCCTCATCTTCAAAAGGCTTGTAGTTGAGACTAAGATATCTCCTTCAACAAATTTAAAAGCCAAATTATAACAATGAATTTATGAAGGAGGGACACCCCATAATGGGGCTACAAGTATTCCCCTTCATATCCCATTTCTAAGCTTGTATATAGTCCATTTCTATCAAAAAGTTCCTTTGAGGACACCACAACTAAGCATTGAGTATCCTCACAACTATAATTGCATCAGCATTTGTTGATGCAATGAATCTTTTATATATGCACATCTTATAGTGTGCATATGTGCTTATGGGATTCGTTAAGTAACTTGGTCCAGTGTAGGAATTAAAATCTTTCATTACCATAAGCCTCAAAAAAGCAATAATTGATATCATATATAAACAATTAACACTACCACCATGTGAACAAAGGGAATCCTAAATTTTAATCAACATAAAGTGCAAGTGGAAAACTTAAAAATATTAGACAACCTCAAAGCTAAATAACTCTTCAGTCTCCGAATGGGAATGCATTTTCTGAAAGATTGTTTTGCTTCAAACCTCCTAAAATGACCAAACATATTTACAAAACAAACTCGAGCATCTTCAAATAGAGAAAAGAATTCAGTTGGTAACAAAACAGCGATATTTTTAGAAAATGGAAATATGACTATCCAAATACAGCAAAGTGACTAGGTCAAATCCTCAAGCAAGTAATAGGCAATGAAAGAATTTACCCTAGTACTGTATTTGGTAGTGTTTTAGACACCATTCAAAGCCCTTAAAATAGTCGAAAATGCAAAATCAATGAATAGTTACTTAGAAAAGAAAACAAAAAAAAAAAAAACTCTCGTAAACCGGAAAAGACATAAAAAAAAAGTAATTTTGTAAAACACTTCATAGGTGTTTCTAGTAAAAGTAACTTTAATCTCTAATGCACCAAACGCCTTAACATTTAAATGAGAAGACACTTGCAGTAGTTTTACAAAACACTTCATAGATGCTTTCGAGAAAGCAATTTGAAGAGTTTTTGCCAAAAACTCTTGTAATACGAAAGCACTTATGACAATTCTTTGCATGCATTAGAAAGGGGCAACAAAAAAAACCCATCTTTAAGCCGAGAATGCTACTATGAAACAAAGACAACAATTGCAATTGTAGAATCTCAATAATAAAACAATCTATAACTCCATAATGGGCAGTCTTAATTATCAGATCAACACAATCATTCAAACAAATCCTTTACATTAAATTAATGTACAATCTTACTTGTTTTGACGTTCATGCACAAGACTCAGAGTACCTCTTTAGCATCTGGGGCTCTTTTCCTTTCCTTTTACTTTTCGTTTTCTCAGGAATCAAACGCTGAATTGAGAGCTTAGGTAGAGTAAGCCGTTGCGTTTGAAAGTTTGTAGGGAAACAAGGTTTAAGGAGTGAAAAAAAAAAGAAACGGGAATTTAGATTGGGGGTGTAGATGCGAATATTGAGACTTATGACAGGAAGATTATAATTTCTAAAGTTGTACCTAAAATAGAATTAGTAAAATTGTGGCTGTGGCGCAAATATAAACAGTTAATATAGAAAGCAAAGCAAATTGAAGAAATCCTTTACACCCCCGAGTTTTGCTTGAAAATATTAAAACCCCTCAGGCATGGAAAAGTACCCTGAACTCCCGACCGTTAATTTTTTCGTTAGTTTTAACAAAATCGAGGATAAAGAAGTAAATGAACCTAAGTTAAAAAAATAATTAACGAAAATATTAAAAAAAGAAGTTAATAAATACAGAGAAAAGTTCCCTCCAAACCTAACACGACTACGGCACTAATTCATCCCCCACCCAACCGCCATTCCATTCAAACCCTTACTGTCACAGCCTCGTGCGGCGCAGCAGCCCAATCTCCTAACCGTTCAATCCCTTCACCGTCACGTCAAAGCCTGGTGCGGTACAGCTACCGCAACTAAGAGTTGTGTGCAGCGCGCCGCAAAGTTGTTCATGCTTTGGCAATCGCCCCAAACTCCATTTTCTTCTCTTTTTTTCATTTTGAGTTTTGCTGATTTGTGATTGTTGTAAATGTTTTCATTTTGGTTATGGATTATTGTTTCGAAATCTAAGAAATCCAATTCAAAAACTAATGATTATGGAGTGGTGGAGATTGATTTTTGGTGGCCGTTTCTCTATTATTGCTGTTGGTGGGTTTGTTGTAGTATGGGCCGTATGGCAGTAGCTGAGTAAGGGAAAATAATACAGCCATCGACGGTAGTACACCGAATGACGTAGTAAAATCTTGACCGTTTATTAATTTTAACTTAATATTAATCAACTGTCAAAATTTTGTCACATCATTCGGTGCACTACCATCGATAGCTGTAGTATTACTCCTGAGTAAGATGGGTTAGATGGGCTGGATCAGCAAACCAACAAAAGCACAAGCTTTTGTTTTTGTTTTATATTATGAATCCTTTTCTTATTTTTATTTTTGGAGACAATTGGTATAGGAAAAAGGGGAAACTTTGTGGGATAATCTGGTATTGATTGCTTCTGGAATTAGTGGTAGACAGTGGTTGGTTGGGGGTTGGTGGTGGAAAGGGTTGACTACGGTGGTGGAATTGAAATTTCAAGTGTTCGACAAGGCTGCGGAGTGTGGGGGTGTTGTGTAGAAAGGCGAGGATGGGGTGCGGTTGGGTTGTTGGGCAATGGTGGAATAGAGCATAAAGGTCATTTAACATCGTTCCGTTAGATCTAACGAAAACTTTTTAACGGCTGGGGTTCAAAGTGATTTTTCATAATTATTTATGGCTGAAGGATTTTATCTAGTTTTAGGAGGTTTACATAATCCCGCACATATAAATAGGTCTTGGAGGCCGAGGAACGGCCCGGGTATTTCTTCTATCTAAAGATTAACCTCGGACTAATCCCGGGCGAGCCCGGCCCGGGTAGGGTGTTGCCTAACCTTACTAATTAGGATGGGATCGGGTTTGGGTTGGGGTTTCGGGTATCTTGAGTTTTTAACTTTTTATAATAGAATGGGCCTGGGCTCCACGCACTGATACAATCCACCAACACTTGTTCAAGCCCACGCGGTCCAAGAGCGCGTTGCGCCGCCATCAATCCATCAAGAATAAGACAGCAACGACCATCTTGTCCGGACGTAAACGTGGACTCTGGGTGGGCACTAAAAAGGTCCACAATTACTTGCGTTGGCATAGCGGGGCCCAGATTGTCAATTTCGAACACACCAGAACACAAAGGACAGTCGCGTGGTTTCTTCTCCCATTGGATTGTCCACGTGTCAGACCGACGCCTTATCTGTCACAAGCATTAGCTGACAGGTCGGTGTGAGAAGCCACGTTTAAGGTCATCAGAGTAAGACCAAGAATTACCGAGACCCTTAACACCACCCTTAAAAATCCATCAAAGTGGACGGAAAAAAATAAATAATTTAATTTTTTAAAATATTAGTAATTTAAAAAATCAAATAAAAAAACATTCAACTGACAGTTTCGAATACAAACTTAAACGTGCAAGAGAATGACTTGTGGGCAGAGTTTGGACTCCACGTGCAGCCATAAAGCATCCATGAATTGGAGTTCCTCAAACGGGGTCTTGCTGTTGGAATTGAATTGCAGGAAAAGCTGTAATTGGAGTCAAGTAATTTCAATGAATATAATTAGCTCCATTTCCATGTCAGGATATGAACCAATAAGGAGTCAAAATTTGACCAGTTATGAATGAAGGATTTCTGAAACTTTATCAGAAACTGATCGAACTGTGGTCAGTTTATAATTTTCTGAAGAAAAAAATACTGAACCGAAACTGCTCATGCATGGCTTCTAAGCCCACAAATTTACACCAATGAAATCATAGCAAAGCAATTCATGAATAGATAATCAGATAAAATCAAACTCGTCTTCATCTTTGCATGCAAGGATATATAATAAATACGATAAATTAAGTTACCTCAGAGCCGCCATGGCCGTCGAACACTCCGAAGAAGTGGATAGGCGACTTCTGCAGGGCGTATTTACACCCCGGCGCGGTGCACCCGCCGAATTCATTGCACGTAAGCTTCATGAACGTGGGATAAACCGCCACAGTGTCCTCCATTGTCTGTCTCCATCCTTGTTCATAAACCTTCCCCCATGTCACACCCTTGTTATTCCTTCCCAAACACCAATTCCACCCCTCGTGCTCCTTCCCTTTGCTCCCGCCATCACCACCTGCCACGGAAATGACGTTACCCGCCACGGAAGTGACGTTGTCCGCCACGGCTGTGACGTTAACGACCTCGGTTATCGGGGTATCAGGGGTGGTTTCAGTGGCTGGAAGGACAGTTTCCGAGGTGGTTTCAGCGGCTGGCAGGACAGTTTCCGGGGTGGTTTCAACGGCTGGAAGGACAGTTTCCGGGGTGGTTCCAGAGGCTGGAAGGACAGTTTCCGGGGTGGTTTCAGCGGCTGGGAGGACAGTTTCCGGGGTGGTTTCGGAGGCTGGGAGGGCGGTTTTGGGGGTGGTTTCGAGCGGGGATTGTTCGGAAATATTAGTGTTTGCCATTTTTGAGAGAGCGACAAAAAGAAAACTAGAGAGTAAGAGACTGAAGGTGACGGTGGGAGAGGAGTTTTATCAGTTTATGAAGAGGAATTTGCAGCTACGCGTGGAATGGGAGTATGAATATAGATGGCAATCAATCTCGACGTTGCATGGCAGGGAGATAGACTAACTGCGCGGGTGAGGGACTGGGGTGAAGGTGCAATGGGATTGTGAGATTTGGCGGGATTACTGTAGGCAGTAGTGGATTCTCCTACGTGGCGAGTTATCATTTGTTAAAAAGTGAAATTTCAGTGGGGCTTGTTGGGTTGATTAGGGTGATCAATTCTGTGTTTACAACTCAACATTGGCTTTTAAGGATTGAATGCCACCTTTGGAAACTTCTATTTTTGAGGGCCAAGTCAGAAAAACATTAAAATAAATTCAATGAATTTTACAATTTAAAATTGAATATAAATGGGTCTTAAAAAGTAATTAGTTGAATCAAAACTTAAATTATTAAGGATTTAAGTTAATTTTTCCTACATTTAAAATATTTAACATTCTTACTATATAATGATATAATAATAAATTGACATAAATGTTTTTTTTTTTTTTTATGACTAGGGTGTCCGGACCAGTTTACATACACCTAAACTAGTCCCTTATGACCCTGAAACTACCGGTCGGATAAAAACTCTAGTGATCACTCTTATTAACAATTGAAGAGGGACTCAAACTTAAAATCTCGTAAGTAATATACTCAAGAGTCTCTACTGAATCATTCGACCATCTAAGGATTTGTTAATTGTTGTTAATTATAAAAAAAAAAATTCAAATTATTATATTTACACATGATATTATAAGTCCATTGTTGTACTCATAATAATATATTTGTAATATTTAAAAAATTTATATAAAAAAAAAAAAAAAATCTTAGATGCTTCTTTAATTGTGATATTTTTGCCCATATTGGCAATTAATTAGAGGATTAATTAAGAGCTTTCTCTCACTTGCCACAGAAGGAATAATAATTTTTTTTTTTTTTTTTTTTTTTTGTAATTAATGTTATTGATTAATAAAATAGTTGGAGAGGTTAATTATAGTGAGGTCATTTAATCCTTATATTAATTAACATTTGGCAAAAGGAATGGGAGGAGGAATTTTGATTCTGCTATACACTTGTTCTTTGTTTATTTAACCTTAAACACAAATGGCTTTCATGCAAATACCCTCTTTAATTACTCAAAATAAATCAGATTTTTTTTTTTTTCAAAATGAAGATGCAAATTACTCTGAAAGGGAGGATGTCCCTTTTGTTATTTATTATATGTTATGTTCATTTTCTAAAAGTGCTTTTTCTTTTTTTAAATGAATCAAAGTACTTCCAAAAAGCACCGATCCATAAATTAAGGTAAACTGGTTTGGCCTTAAATTGGCAAAATAGAAACAAGCCTTCACTCTCAAGAAAATATATAAGTTTTATATAATTAATAATTTACAATAAAAATGATAATATCGGTTCACATATTAATAATAAAAGAAAAAATAATAATTGTATGTAAAAAGATCGAACAGTTGCCAAATTGATGAAGAGGGTCGAAAAAGTTAAACTTTGACAATCGACGAAGAGTACTCATCGAGAATTATTCTTACGTGGATTCGATGCACATATATATATCTACAATCACCCGATGAGAATGTATCACATTATTGCATATGTATAACATATATGTATTTTAAACGTTTGTATATTCATTGGATGTTTGAAAAAGAATGTTCGTTCTTCGATGCTTAAGTCAACACTAAAGAATTACTAAGTATAACGATGATCACGAACACTATCTTTTTGTGCCATGTGTTGCATCCCAAAAATCTCCGTACCAACAATGTATAATTAATATCTCACAGCACTAGCTATAACATTGACAATGTAATTGGCTTGACATAATTTTATAACGGTTGCCTTCCGTTGTTAGACTTATCACAGCAAGCCACCTCAGACAAATGCTCCACCTCAGACAAATGCTCCAGCTCGGCTAAAATATCTCAGCACAATAAAGATGATTCTAGAATATCATGAGCTGTATTTCTGTTTCATCATGAGTTGCGTTTTCTGTTTCATTCAATCTGTACAAATTAGTTAGAATTGCTTTTTTTGATTCTT